TCGTGTAGGAATCGAACCATCTTTCTCTGCTGTTGACGTCACGGGATGACAAATTTAGTTGGCGGTTCCGGTTGTCGGCAGAGGTAAAATTCAAAGGAAGTAAAGTTGCTTCTTGACCACTGAGACTCTGACTTCATGAAGATTTCTGACCCAGTCGCTCACGATTTTGCGTTATGGCATCCGTGGTGTAGTTGTTAGGCACTTCGCTGTCGCATGCAGAGGACCTGAGTTTGATTCCAGTATGGGAAGAATTTTTATCGAATACACGTGTATCTCGGCATTTCTGCTGGGACGTAGAATCCTTCTCAGCCTGGGTTGGCCCTGACAGGCATGATGATCGAGGCCAGCCTCCTCCTACATTATCAAAACTGTGTCGATTTGAGGGTTGGGGTGGGGGCGTAAGGACATCAACATTAAAAAAAAAAAGAATTTGCATTTAGAGTACCTTGACCTTGAATCGTCAGTGTGGTGTGCAATGGCGGGGGGAAGATTCCACGACCTTCTGTTTCACCACTACAAAGTTTATCAGAGGGATAATGGGGGTTCCATAAGAACTACCGAGGTGCACCATTGCATAAGTAAGTCTGTCTGTAGGTCGTAGTAAAGACAGGCTGGTACAATTTCTCTTGCCGCAGGAGATAACCCAGGTCCAGCTCGTGTCTATCTGGTCGGGCCTCGGTCCAGCCGTCTGACGCAAACCAGACAATACAGCAGACGATGGTAGAAGCATTGTGTCCATAGCTGTACAGCCCAGACAGTTAAGGTGCAGCGCCCAGGGAGGTAGTCGGGTACTGGCAGTTTGGATAGGAAATGATGTACATGTTACCATCAGAAGTCGGCTTAGGTGCACTGCTGGCTCTGTTAGCATCATGCTGGACTATGGAGAGGATGGTCCTGGTTCGAATTCACAGCGGAACTTGGGGGGTGTTTTAGGGAGTTTTAAAAGCTCTCTGCCTACATGTATTTGGCTCGGTCCTCTCAGAGATGGATGACTGCCGTCTGTGGTGTAGTGGTTAGGTGCTTCGCTTCCCAACCCAGGAGACTTGCCTCCTAAATTGTGTCGATGGGGGTGTAAAAATACATGTAACATCTACATTAAAAAAAATTCGTAACCTTTCGGCTGTTCTTTCTTGAATAGTCGCTCCAGCTTGCATTTAATTTGTTGACCAGCTCACTCTGCTGGCATGTGGTGCGACGTGCGTGTGGTCAATGATGTGTCTCTAGAGCTCCACCTTCTCATTTTCTCCTTGGATCTCACGAATGATCAGTTTCACGACGTACTCGGATTCGGATACTTTCTCCGCGCTGGCAAATGTGTCATTCTTGGCCCTTGAGTCACATCGATCGCTACCTCAGAATTACAAAAGTTCTATCTGACAATTTGGACCGATTTTGAGTTACTAAAACTCTTTTGATTTGTTTCATCCTGGCTGTCAATAATGAACAATCGTTTGGGGGCTCTCGTGGCCTAGAGGTTAAGGTGTTGGCCTCTCATTCAAAGTAATCAAAGGGTCAAAGGTCCCGGGTTCGAATCCGGGTAGCTACCGAAATTTTTTCTTCTCTAAAATTGTCTCCTTTCACCTCCTTTCCAGCTCTCTAGCAATGACATCTGTCGTCTGCTTTCGTCTCCTCTTTCTGCTTCCACCCCCTCACCTCCTTTGCCCCCTCCTCTGGGCTCCTGACTCTTTCTGCAGCCCTACTCTACTGCTATTATACTTCTTGGCTCCTTCTTACTGCTGTCTTTCAACCACACCCCTGATCTTCTGGTAGGAAAGATCTACACCTAGCCTTCTCGGACAAGAGCGAAATATGTCAGAGGGCCCATGTGCAAGTTGCGCACGTTAAAGATCCCTTTGTGGTCTAAAAATCGATTCATTCAAAATTTCCTACCAACTGAAAAAGTCTAATGTGTTCCGCGCGCTCATGACCTTATGCAGTTGCGAGCTCTGTAAAACACTTAGGCCTACCAAAAAAAACCCAACAACACAAAACAGTCGTTTTACGCAGAAAAATAATACAAAACATTATTTGATTTATCTTTATGTCTCGAAATATTATTTGTAATCTATTTTTATCTTTGTTTCTATAAATCTTTCTTGTTTCGTACTGGCTGTAATACTGGTAATACCAAAGATTCTCAGTTTTCTTTGGTAATACACAAGTTTAGAACTTACTTTTAATCTCCTTGGTAATACACGAAGTCAGACACGAAGCTCCATAAAACGCATAGCCTACAAAGTCTAAGGTTCCGGATTCCATTTTCTTTGAACGGTTCAATAGCCGGTGACCCCGGAGACATTGACCTTTAGAAATCAACAATATGGCTGCCCGCATGAAGCAGGGACTCTCGAGTCTTGTTCAGAAATTGGATGTCGTACGACATCGGCTTGTGCTCTTGGAACACATTATTTCTGGAAAATGTACGTCAAAACAGTTCTGTTTTTCTGTATTGATTCACATGCAAGAGGAAGTCATCATCTAACCTCCAACGATGGCAACAGTCTAACCTCAAAATGACCCTTTCATTTCCAAGTCCAGTCGGTTGTGCTAGGCTGGGCTTGTCCTTCTTCTCTCAATTCATGTCTCATCATTATATCAAAAACACAATAACAGCAGACTTAAACTTAACTACGACTACTTCGGAGGCCTTCAAAAAAGTATGTACTACTAGATCTATCTAGATCCAGATCTAGATTCTAGTAGCCTACTAGAATCTAAATCTGGATTCTAGATCTAGAGATCTAGACTATCTAGAATCTAGATATCTAGAGGCTAGAGGCAGGTCTTACTTCGCACTTTTGGTGGAAATTGCCTTGCCATGTAAACTTTAAGATTGTGTGTTTTAAAAAAAATTATTATTGGCAGGCACGTTCTGAATAGCTCCCGTGCTATTTGCAACGCCGTGTTCTGAATAGCTCCCGTGCTATTTGAAACGCCAGTACTAGAATCTAGATCTATATATGTAGATGTAGATCTAGATTTAGATCTAGTAGCCGTCGTTTCTACATGATAATATTGTAGTTCTGCCTGAATTGTGGAAGCTTTCTTAGTTTTTTTATAAACCTCCTAGGGGGAGGACTTCCGTAACGAGCGACCACTATGAGACAGAGCAGTGAGGGCTTGGGGTAGGGGTAGGGGTAAGGTTAGGGTTGGGGGTAGGTGTAGGCTTAGGGGTAGGGTTAGGTCTAGGCCTCTTCTTTATTGTGTTTGATGGGGTGGTCGCTCATTACGGAAGTCCTTCCCTCCTAGGATTTGACTCCTTTTTTTATGACGTCTTATTCCGATCAATATTGGGTAGATCTAGATTAGATTCTAGATTAGATCTAACAATTGTTTCACTGACATTGTTTTGCTCAAAAGTAGACTAGACGTAGATCTAGTCTTGTTCATATCTCTCATAATCATATTATAATCATTTGAGTTAGAGTTTGAGCAAGTTTAAGTCGAAAGACGCTTGGATAACAATAACAAGACGGTGCAACTCGAACTTTAAGTTAGGCCTAGAGAACCTGTATGTATACAAGCTGTCTGCTGTCTACGTTCTCTAAGTCTAATGTTCAGTGTTTCCAAGCGTGGCATCGAATCCCGGTCCCGGAAGGTTTTTTTTTCCTTCTCCTGAGCCTAAAATATTAAAAAAAAATTAAGACTCACAGACCAAAGCCACTGTTGAACTTTAACCAGGCCTAAATTGGTAAAAGGAAAAGTAATAGGCTAGATCTATAATAAGGCCTACTTTGTAAGAGCTCCTCTTGGGGACAAAACCAGAATCATGCATGCTTCATCACTACATAAACAAAACTACAAAGCCAAGTTATAATTATGGGAAAAAATTTGTTGGTCAGTCGAGAAGAGGACAAAAAAAAGAAAAGAAATAAACCCGCCCAGGACCAGGATCGAACCCACGCTAAAAAAGTAATGGTTTGACTTCAAGCGCAGACGCGCTGTCACTTCGGCCGTCAGAACTTCCGATAAAGGATTGCAGATTAAGATTGATATTTTACACACAGCGACACATCGTTTTATTTAGCACTGGCGCTAATGGCAATGCAGCGTTTTATTTAGCACTGGCGCTAATGGCAACGCGGAGTTGCAAATAGACACTTCCATTTTTATTTTAGCCAAGCCCCCCTGAAACCCTCCACTGTTATTATGGCTTGTGTGCATTAATACTCAGGTGGGTCCACCAAGGTTCAATCCGGCCAAAATAAATTTTGTATGCAAAAAAGGTAGAAAAATGTTACTAGAATCTAGATCCAGCTAATCTGGTAGGGTTTACTTAGCCTACATGACCACTTTTGTCCTTAGCAATCACTTCTGTTTCTTATAAGAAACAAGTGATTGCTAAATATGTAAACAAATGGGAAAGCAATTTTCCAAAGAGCCCCCTTTTGATCTTGTCTACTGTGGTGAGCCAGTCTTGCGGTGCGCGCAGCATCACACTCCCCAACCCCTTTCCCCATCCCCCCCTTCCTCCAGTCTCTCGTGGTCGGACAAGGAGCAAAGAAACACCTACCTGCGGCCGGATAAGCTGTAAAGTCAGGTCTTAGTTGAGAATGCGAAGTGGATTTGTTTGAGATTCGAGTGTTGTGTGTTCCGAGTGTTCGGGAGCTCCATGAAGTCAATACAAAGAAAACATAGGGGGACTGAAATGGGACTGAGCATTATGTTCGAGATACCCAAGAATTCATGATTTTCTTGTTTGTGATTCGTGTACTGGTACTCTACTGTAGAAACTTTTGGGGTGATCTTGTAGTTGTAGTTCCGTTCGTTAAAGTCCACGATCCGTTTGTTTACATCCAGAGAAGAAATCGAGAAGTCTTGATGACCAAATACTATTTGAAAAGGCTACACAAGGAGTAGGGATGCTACTTAACTGCAAAACATCAAATTAGGATAAAATGCATGCCCCCCTGAAACCCCCCACCTCCATATTTTTATTAGGTCAGCCCCCTCCTGAAACCCCCCTACTCTTGACTTCAACGAACGAAACTGCAAAATCACCACTTTTGGACCAAGATGTGCATATGATGAGAAACCTGTTATCAAGTTATTTATAGATCTAGAAATGTTTGTTTTTTCCGATGACCTTGTTGTTTTAAAAATCTTGTATTGTTAATGATGTAGTTATCTTCAAATTTCTTTTATATTATTGCTGCTTATTCCCAGGCACTCATCACTCTCAATCCTGAGTTCCCATATTTTTATACAATCACTTTAAATTACTGTTTATTACAACTTTTGTTAAACAAAAAAATGTCATCAGATCCTCCGCCTGCCCTAGCTGTTGCTGCCAGCCCAACAGCGCTTTCAGGAACTGAGTCACAGCAAACTCCAAATGGGGAGACTGACCTGAAATCTATATTTGATGGGTTCATGCTGGCTGTGCCGAGAGCAAGACGTACTATTGAGACAAGACTGAGGAGGAAAATGGCCTTCACTGGATATTTTGAGCATGCTTGGAAAAAGAGGAATATTGTGCCATGTTTGGAGTGTGGAAATTTCAAAGAGAAAGGACATTTATGTCGTAAGTAACTGTTACTATTTTAAAAGATTTATTTTTTTAGATTTTTGAGTTCGTATAGAAAAGTTGATCAGCTATTCAGTCATTAATTAGCTGTCTATTCTTTTCCTATAGATTTAAGCTACATCCTTGTGGTAAAATTTCCCAAAGTCTTTAAAATTTGTTCCTACATTGAGGCTAAGTCAGCTTCATTTTATTACTTGTACAACATTAGAAATGTGTAGTACAGTGCAGCGTCTCTATAGCGACATCGTCGGGACCAGAAAAAAATGTCAATGAGAGTTGTCGTTAACTACTAATGATATTAATAAGGAAAAAATTGAGACCTGGGCACACTGTCGCTATACAGAGGATGTCGTTATATCGAAGCTCGTTGTATAGAGAGGTTGCACTGTACGAAAAAAATTTCAGAGTGGTAAGTATACATCGGCCTTTTCTCCTAGAAGTACGAAATGAAGCTAATGTCATGTGAACAAAGTTTTGATTTGATTTTAATGACAGAAGGTGTAGTGTATTATATTGGCTTTGAACATGAAGGACAAGTGCACACAATGCACACATAGAAGGCCTACATGTCTTTTGTACCAACTTACTGTTGGTAGAACAAGGTGAAGATCTAAAATTTCCCTCGAAATTGCTTTCTCATTGTGAATGTATGAGTATGATGGCCAGGGAAAACCAGGCACTGTCATTTTATGGCATTTTGAAAGATATTGAACTAAGCGCAGAAAGCAAAATTTCTCGCAGGAGATAAAAAAACAAACTGTTTCATTCTTCTTCTTTTTTTTAAAAAGAGTTTTAGTGCACTTGCAACACAATAAGGTCATATTGAAGTGCCGAAGATTAGCGGTGTTACAAGTACAAGAGAGTAACAAACACAGAAAAGAAGTAGGAGAAATCAGGACGATAGATGTTTCATTATTCCAAGGATTCAATGTTTGCATCTCTGGATTATGTATTTTTTCTTGCTTTATTCAACATTTAGAATTTGAATTTGACAAAATGTTTTTTTCAGCACATGCTCCTGATATTACAGATTACATTAGAGAAACTGCAATTTAAAGGAAAAAAATCCTGCTCTTGTCATTAGGCATCATGAGATTTACAAGAATCACAATATCATGATCAGTCTTTTTCTCGTCTTTATTAATGACGATGATGTCAGAGACAAATGTTGTAAATTTTACTGTTCTTTTAAAATAAGATTAAGTGTCTTTTGCCATTCTATTGTTACATGTTTATGAGTTTTAGGCCCTTTTGTAAGTGAAAAGTGTTGGCATGGGACTTTTAACTCTGTTATGATCCAAGCAGTTTGCAGAGATTTAAAAATTCTTTTCATGAGTGTATGTTTGTCTTTCAAAAATGAAACTAGTTCACTGGTTCTCAAAGGTTTGGAGTTTATAAATAACAATTAGATCTTCTCTTTGCAGAGTGCTGTTGATCTAAACAACATCTTATTCTTTGTTTTCTCAGTTTTCTGCTATGAAAAAGTTCGAGCGGAGACGAAAGAAATGCAAGCAAAAATGGGCGATGACCTCAAGTTCAAGGTTCCACAGTCAGAAGTGGTGTTTGTCTATGAAGGAGACGCGGCCAATACTGAGGGCAAGCATGTCGTCAGTATGAACAAACAGAGACCAAGTTGGTTCCCAAAGCAGTTGTTAAATAAAACCGGAGTATAAATTATTGAAAATGCATTGTGTTGAAAAGTTTTTTCTTACATTCAACTGTCTGTCGTTCTTATGCACAGTAGAATTGTAAATGGGCTGATTCATCATGACATGATCATAACTGTGCCTGGTCTACAACAGGGAACTTCTGCTTTTTCTTTCCTAATCCTTACTTTCGTCATTTACCTTTACTTCTTTAGTATGTTTGTCACTCTCTTGTGACCTGCTATTTCCGGGGTGCCTTGATAGTCGAAGCAGACTTTGTGCTGTTGAAGCTAGAGAGGTGAGCAGAGTAAGTCTGATTCCCTACTGTAAGGACTTCTCTGTTGACATCCATCCCTTGGTGCTCATATGACCTTATGCAGTTGCGAGCGCTGTAAAACATCTACTAGAACAACAAACAACACTCTCGCTCTTTTAGCAGATGCTCTCCTTGCAGCAGAGTATAAAAGAACTATCCCCATGGCACGTGTATCAGTGAAAGTAGAACTGAGAAGATGTAAATCTATGGTTCTTGCTTTGACCTGTCCCCGTGGTTTTATGCACCCCGCATAATTTAGCAAAATTTGATCCTCTTTTGCATAATTTCTGATTATTTTCTTTATCATTCTTTGTTTAAAATTAACAGAATCGCATAATTTCACATTTTTGGGCTCAGTTTGCATAATTTCAGAATTTTTCTTGCATAAAACGACGGGGACAGTTTGACTTTGTCATATGAAAGCCCTAATTTTACACCTGACACAGACCCTAAATTTATGTGGTTCTTATTATATTGATATGTACAGGACAACCCAAGAGCAATTTGATTATCTTGTGTCTTTCAGCCAATCAAAATAAGAATTTTTTCAGGAAAACAAAGTTGTGGAGCACATGTTCACAGTAGCAGCCTTGATGTAGCCTTCAGACATTAGCCAAAAAACACATTACATGTAAATAAGCCTTTTTTTACGGGTACTTGAAATAGTGTTCTTTTGAACATCGAGTTTTCCTGACTTTCACTAGCCAAGAAGTACGCTTTGTGAAAAAATACAGCTTCTGAACTGGCGTCTGTGGTGAAGGGGTTATGCGCTTCGCTGTTGCATGCAGGAGTCCTGAGTGAAGGGAGTTTTTATTGAGTATTTTGGTCTTTCTGCTGCTATCGTGTATCCCTCTCAGCCCTTGTTGGCTCTGACGGGCAGGGTGGAAGCCTGCCACTTGCACGGTCTAAAGAGGTCAGTGGCGTAAAAACACTAGAAAATGGAAAGCGAGAAACATCCTCTGAAAATTTTAGATAGACTCCTTATTTCTACGAGCAAAAGAACTCATCACTAATGTCAGGTCACAAGGTGGCCTTAGTACAAAGAAATACAGTCCAGCATGCCCATAGCGAAATCAGTGAGACACGGAAATCTTTTCCTTATATTGCCTTATGTATGAATTTTGCCATGAACATATTTAAATACAAAGAAAATGCAAGTGTAAGAAAAATGATGGGACCTGAAAATCTCATCGTTTTGTGCCTGTTTCGCTATGTGCACGCTAGACTGTATTGCTGAAGTCAGTTCATGAAAGCTGAAATCAGAACAAAATGATGAAATATCAACTCTGAGGAAAACTCCCGTGTTTATTTTGTATTTCAACAATAAACAAGTATCACTCATTTTTCAAAAAACATCAATTTGCCTCTCAATATATGCATTATGGGCAAATACTGAGACAACTGCCCTGACTATTATAACTCTTCACACATTTCTAAACTATACTCTTGACGATCGTTTGAGCACTTGATAAACACTTACTGAAAACAGTATCACACGCCACTGGCTCACCTGGAATAACAATGCTAGAAATATCTTTGCTACATCTTTAGCACTCAACAAGAAAACAATTGCTAACCACGTGGAGAGCCCGTGCATGCACGCACCATCCACAGCACCGTGTGCCGCTTCTTTAAAACACGAGACATACACAAAAATATCGGCAATATACACACACCCATTTTCCTTGTAACAGATAGGTCTATTTTAAATGCAAGTTAATTGATCAAGGCATAAACTGCTACATACACACCCAAGTTCATGTGCATTGTGAACACATTTCATCCACTTTCTGTCTCCCGGTTTAGACGGAACCCCAGGAAAATCAAATGTTTAAATACTGGAACTATTTTCTCTTTCTTTCACCATACTATGTATACCAGCACCTATGATCAGTCTAGACGGCTAATTTTGAAAATACAAAAACTGAACAGATGACATAAAGTGTGGTAAGGGAAACAATAACCAGTTGACTGAAACGAGAAACTGACAAACCAGACAGACCTTTTTATACCCCTCTATTCTTGTCAAAAGGAAGACTTTAGTTGCCAAATTTAGAGAGAATGAGTCTTTTTCGGACTTCATTTTATATTCTCTTCTAAATTGAAAACTATGCACACTTATGTGATTGTACTTCCGTGAAAAGACAGTCATAACAATATTCTCATCAGAGCAAATTTGGTATATTTCAGATTCTTGAATGATGACAAAAATCTTTTCTTTTTTTTTACGTTGCAGAATAATTTAAAACATTCAGCACTAAAATATAGCACTCATTGATAAGGAAATACTATGCATGTAATTCATCAAAAGGAAAGCCAGCTAGCTCTCTCCCGCTGCACTCTGCTCGGATTGTGTGTCGTAGATGTCAAACAGCTTGGCCACTTCGTAGAGATCCTCATTCTTAGCACCGTCTTTCAAAACCTGACAATGACAATAAGCATTACTCAATTTACTGACAAAGTTCAAAGCATATTTTTCTTTCCCTGTTTTATTAACACTAAGAGTCTTAAAATAATTTCAGCTTATGGACGCTCACTACACAGCTCACATTTGTTGGAATTATACCATTCGGCATGGATAACTCAAACACATCGGGAATTGACAAATGTGTTCGACACATCCATATTTTGAGTTAAATGATAATGAAAAATTAAAGAGATGTCAGTTTGGGAATGTCAAATTGTATGAACTGCCCATGACTTCCAGTATTCTGTGCTCTGCAGAATTTTGCTCTCCACTGTACGGCTTTGAAATGACTATCTCGCAGGTCGTGAAACCTGTTCAAAATAAACCCTCCCCACCTCAACCTCCAACTCTGTGTTTCATTTACATAACTTGTCTTGCTTTATGTTTCCCATTTCAAGTCATTAAGTAAGGCAAACACACGAGTCTACATATTTGAAAATATTCGTTTTAGTTTCACATAGAAGTCACATTCATAAAAGGAAGAAATTCTATGGATAAAATGTGCAAATTTACTCACAAA